AAGATGTGACATCCAAACTATCATGGACAACAAAGATGGGTCTGACATCAAGTCACCATCACCCTCAATGATACCCAAACAAAATTATTGTCACATGCGCTGACATCATCTTATACGTTATCCGAGATGTTACCCTTAAGTCACCACTGATTGGTACCCTAAGACCATTACTCAGGTCTATAGCTTGTTTACTGTATAACCCAAGTGTATACCAAGTTTTACTGAAAATACAAATACCGTTTAAATATAAGACAAGCAGCTACACAAAAAACAGACAAAATCCACAAAAAAAAAATAAGCGAAACAATTTTATGTCAAAATAATAATTTAGTTTTAATTATTTATAAACATAGCTAACGTGTTCAATAACACCCCCCCTCCCACCTACACACACAGACACACCCACAATAATACATGTTATTAAGTTTGATCATATTGTGAGTGAATCCATCAATCTACACCCAACACAATCATTCATCATAACTCATATCCCAAAGTCACACAATAATACATGGATACACGTAATCTCTATTTAACCTTTTACCCCTCGTTAATAAAAAAACAATCATAAATTATTACCCCATATCAACACCCAGGAAATAACACACGTCACATATTTTGATCATAATGCTGGCATACTTCACATATAAAACAATTATGAAACAAATATACACACACTTTTTGTACAATTTAACATATACATCATCAATATGGTAATACAAAATATGAGTCAGAACATTCACACTATATTATCAGCTTGAGGTCATGTTATGTATTTTTAATATTATGAAACAATGACAAAACTTGAAAACTTAATAACATAAATTCTCAAATTTAAAATGAAGGTTCCGTTCTAATATTGCATTGAAATAGAACTGTTTGGGAACATGAATAATTGTATACAATTACAATGCACTATCAATTCTAAAACAAAAAATGTCATGCATGCATTTAAAAATGTAAGTAACAATTAGTTTTTTTATAACATAAAGTTTAGCTACAGTTTACATAATTTAAGTAGCAGAAAAAATATTTATTTAATTTAACAAAAAAATAATAACATAAACTATCAATACTTTTTGATATGCAACAGTTTGTAGAATGATAATGCAACATTTGGAATGTCTATAATATAAAGAGATAAGTACTAAATGAAACAAGCTACAATAATTGATACATTAAAAGATGTCCATTAAACAGTTAAGGTATTGACAAAATGTACACAACATATATTTTCAAACATTTTATATTATTTGCATATTTGGCCATTTTTTAATTAAATATACTTCGTTGTTAACACTAATAAAAACTTTTTAAAATACATTCAACAGTCAAATCAAATATCAGCTCATCAATAAATCCACAATGTTAGAAATATAATCACTAAATATACTTGATAATGTTACTAATAATATCAGTAGCTATAGTTTAAGTTATAATTGTGCTTTCACAATTTGAGAAAAAAAAATATATGGTTTGATTTTTAGTAATATCTTTTCCCTACAGAGTGTCATTATGAGAATTTAACAAAAATCAAAATAAGAAAATTCAGGATTTAAAATGATTAATTTCCCTTTAAGAGTAATAATTATATAGACAATTAGTAAAATAAATATTAGTTTTACTGTCCAACTAGACAATATCACAACTCAGTATTTAATGTATTTCTGTAAAAATAATTTTGACTATATGATTGTTCAAATAAAAATATTAAAATTAACTTTTTAATTCAACCGGATTTCCATTACAAAAAAATACATTGTATAAGCTAAGCTTTTTGAATAAAAGTATTGCACACCAGTACACAAATAATAACTTTTACATGACTAAGTCTAGTGTAAAAAAATATGAAATTGTAAATTTATAATCATAAGTAAAAGTTATGTTTTTTTTTTACAATGGAGTATTTATAATGCATATGGAATAGATGCTTTTAACAATTAGATGACTACCGAGATTTGTGAGTTAAAAAGATTTAGTCGTCTTTTTTAAACTCTGCCATTAGAGATGCTGTCTGTGTTTCTGGATTCCTGAAAGTTCCAATCTACGGGGTTAAAGAGCTGCTGCGTTTTTTTGTAGCCCCAGTACGGGGTCATGATAAACGTAACCAGGGTGAGGTTAGCGTAGAGCAACACGAAAATGGGGAGGGGCATATGGGTACTAATTTCTGTCCAGTTTTGGTAACTAACGTACCATAGGTAGCACTCAACTACGCTCCGCAAGTGAAAGGTGTGTATAAGCACGCATTGATTTATAGTCCACAGTTTACTGCTTTCCATACCTGCTTTAAGAAGTACGTAACATAGACACGAAAATGGGGTGCTCATTTCAAGAATCATACCTTTGCAACCGAAAGCGTAATTTGATTCGGAATGTAACGCTAGGGTGAAGGCTATAAGAGCTAAGCTGTGGTGCATTATTAACATTTTGGAAAAAGTTCTGTATGCTAGGTCTGACAAAATCACAGCGGACAACTCAAACATAAAAAACCCAACCGTCACGCACATAGCCACAGTGCTGGTGGCGGTCTTCCCAAATACAATATCCCTATCTAAGGCCGTTGTTTTAAAAATACCATAACAACCTATCACAATACCAAACACACCATACACAGCTCTCACAATAGCCAGGCTCATGAAAACTTTATGCTTGGACACTAGAGAGCGAAATGCTGAGAACAGATTGCAGAACAACATGGACCCAAAAAACAGGACCAAAACAAAGATAAATGTTCCAATAATAATTACGCCCTGTACTTTTCTGCTTGCATAGTCCACTTTTAGAAGGGATGGATTCACATACTGGAGTATTTCTTCTTCCTCTATAATGACTAACTTCGGCTGTCCTATAGAAACTTCTTGAGCCATCTTGGTTTAGCTGGTGAGTAAAATGTTATTTCAAAGATTTAAAACATGCTAAATTCTGCTAGATTAGCTGTACAAGTTAATCGTTGATACAAGTATGGTCAATAACTAGAAGCAGACCACAACTACTGGTCAGAGTTCCTCCAGGCATCGAAAAATTTTTACCGCCCCTGAACGAAATGAAATTTATATAATTTATATAGAAAATATATACTTTTAACAGTGTCCGCACCCCCCCCCCCCGGAAAAAAAGTTTACCCCCCCCCCCCGGAAATTTCAAGTGCCCTCCCGGAGAAAAAAGTCTGGAAGAAACACTGCTACTGGTCAGTCAAACCCTGGTCAATTATCCCTCGGTTTATTAGTTTATTACTCCCTGCCCAAAAGCTAGAATAGGACTTTACATTTGGGGGTAATATCCTAGATCCCAACTACAGACATGGATACATTCAATAGTAACCTAACACCTCTGGCATTAAATGATAATATAAAGTAGATTATATATTTATATATATTGTAAGAGCCTACATCATTGCTTATCCTGACAGTGATACCCCTGCTCCTTTAATACCAAATTATTATACTCCTACTTTTTAAAGAGTAATTCTAAAATTTAGACTAATCACTGATCAGTATTTAGTATTTAGCTAGAAGTCTATAACTATAGATCTAGATATCTGATATAGGCCTACTTATTACTTATAGATATTAATAGATCTACTCAATAAATATTAATAAATACTATTTAAATTAGAATAGGCCTAAATTAAATTAGAGAATCTATAATTTATATAATTAATTATTAATTAGAATTAGTAGATCTAGAATAATCTAGATCTAAACTTCTAAACTCTAACTCTAGGTCTTTTAGTTAGATTTTTAGGAGGTTACTCCACAAAATAAATGATTTGAGGTTCTAGAAATCTATATTTCTACCGTTTCTGTCTGATAATGTATATTATAGGGCAATATCATCTAGGGCAGGGCTATTAGATTTCTGAAACACGATCACACATAGAGTCTACCATATTTCTGTATTTCATATTATTTGAAAAACTAGTAAAAGTTAACTAACTACTGAAGTCAAAAGAAAGGTGCTCTCCCTTGTATAACTTGTACTTAAGTTAACTTAACTTACAAACTTAAACAACTAACTTCATGGTTGGTTAACCTAAGACGCGATTTAATTTAGAGTAGGTCCTATATGTAATAATTATAATTTTAAGCCCTTTAATAAAATGAAATAATACAGTTAATTGACATAATCGAATTTATAATAAAGCAAAATGAAGTAAACTAACTCACCTAGATTTTTCGTACTTCAAGTAGTAAACAATGGCGGTGTACAGTAGTTCTCAGCAGTCACAAACACAAAAATATCGATAGTAGATTTCTTGTTGCTAGTCTATAAAAAAAAAAAAAAAGAAAATCTACTAAAGCTAATTCGCTTTGTTGTCTTTTTCTAAAGTACTAATATGTTCTCATGTTATCTGTCTTTTGAAGAGTGCACTTATAATCAAAAGTGTTATACACCAGCGATCTTCAATAACAAGAGTAACTGCAGTGGGGGGAGGGAAAGTAAAGAGTGCGGGGAGTGAATCTAGGTCAAAGTTTGTTAAAACTTAAAACTCAAGATAATCTACGAGCCCTAGTCTTAGGATTGAAACATTTTTAAATAAAAAAAAAACATGTTTGTACTGTTCTTTCTCCTTACATCAGTGGCGTAGACATGGGTGATACTATAATTATACTATATATATAGGCCTATATATATATATATATATATATATACTTAAAGCAACAGCCAATTGAGAAAGATATTAAGGCCCGTAAATGGGGATGGATCGGACACACTTTAAGAAAAGAAAAAGAAAACATCGCAAAACATGCATTGGAATGGAATCCCCAGGGGAAAAGGAGGGTGGGCCGGCCAAGGAAAACATGGAAGAGAACGGTTGAGGAAGAGGCAAAAACAGCTGGGCTCTCATGGGCACAGATTAGAGGAGCAGCCCAAAACCGAGTCCGCTGGAGATGTGTGGTTGCAGCCCTTTGCTCCCCGGGGGCCACAAAGGAGTGATGATGATGATATATATATATATATATATATATATATATATATATATATATATATATATATATATATATATATATATATACATATATACACATATACATATATATAGGCCTATATACATATAGGCCTATATATATATATATATATATATATATATATATATATATATATATATATATATATATATATATATATATATATAACTGATATCTGATTTGGGCATATTAGTATTTACCTAATTGCAGTGTGACAATAATACTTTAATATGCTCATTTTATTGATTACAATGCAACTATGATAATAATACAAGTAAACCCGGCAAATAAATTAAACGAAACATCAACGAACCCAGCATTCTTATGAATGTTTACAAAATACAGGCCTACGCCTTGATATGATAAAAACGTCTGTGCACATTAATTATGCAACTTCACTCGCTAAATGTGCAAAAAATCGATTTGACTCAAGATTGACTGCCCAAACGGGCACTAAGAAAATTTAAATATCACGTGACTGTTGCGAGTGTTGCGTATCGGGTGGGCCTGCACATTCCGACGTCACTATTTCTGTATGTGTGGTTGCTGTAAACTATAAATAGTCTTTAAACACCCTTTTTGACCCGCCGTGCCTTTCCGCTCTGATTACGATGAAAGAAACGAGAGAGGAAGAAAAGAAGTTGTGTATTTTATAATCTTAAACCAACATTCACTTAGGAATCATCCATAAATGGCGTCACGCTTTTTTTGGACGATTTTTACCCCCCACCCCCTCCCCTCCGTCACACATCGTTACACAAAGCCTCCCCTTCCCCATAAAATGACGTTACACCTCAGCCTACAAACGCCCTCAAAATTGAAGTTGAATTTTTCTTAAAATACGATATTTCTCCAAAATCTTCTCTGAATTCTGTCAACATAGAATATTTTAATCAATTCCTATTACAATTTATTGAAACAGTTTTCTAAAACGCAAAATAACGGCTAAATTTCGTTTTCTAACATTGCTTTTTTATAATGCAAAAGTGTGACGTCACACCATCTGAACCCCCCCCCCCCCACTACCATGATGACACACTGTTACAATATTACGGACTCCCCTCCCCCCTACAAGTGTGACGTCATATATGGATGACCCCTTAGCACTTCAATGTTTTTTTGCGTCACGTGATGTTATTGGTTTTAAATTCACACGTAGAGCTTAGCTAGTGAAACAGGCATACACTTTCATCTTTATATTCCTAGTAAAGGTTCTTACGTTTTTTTTTATTTTTTTTTTACGTGTTTTAAGAAAACTCTATGAACACAGAAAGGCATAAAAAAGAGCCTTAAAAAATCTTGTAAAATGATGGATGCGTGATCTCGACACATAAAACACTGGGCATATCCAAATCAGTATTTCTTCCAGACTTCTTTTTCTCTCTCTCTATCACCCCCCCCCCCCCTGGAGGAGATGCCTAGAGGAAACTGATCCAAATCCCTCGAGTATAAATCCATGATTTAAACGTTGTCGCATCCAAATCGAGAAAGCCCTCAGTAAACAGAACACCGTTATTTTCGACGGACTAAAAGTGTTCGAATGTGTTTATTAGCTATTGAAAGGTATTTAATTCTTTTAATATAATCTCACAGGGCACCCGGGAAACTTCATCGATCAAGCTTAATCGATCAGTCTACGAAATGTCCGCAGTCGAATGTCCATAATCGAAACGCCCGTTATCGAACGGTCCATGGTCGAACTGTTTGATGAGTAAATGTCACTGGTCATGTAGTGAAAGCTCGAAATAGCCTGCTAGACTTTTTGGTCGCCCATTGTTTTATCCAGCGAGAAACAAATCTACCTCAGCACTAATGAAGATGTAGGCCACTTGGTGAAAATGCCCGATGTAATAAATGGTGGCTAGTAATAAAATACAAAGAAAGAAAGAAAGAATAATACAACAGAACTGTTTAGATCTAGCCAACTTGGACTGTGATATAAAAATATAATTGCTGCATTTGATAAGATGAATCTCCAAATATAATGGAATAGAACAGTATTTATGTAATAAAATACATACAAGAAAGAATAAATCTACAGAACTGTTTAGATCCAACCGATTTGCAGTCTAATTTAAAAAATAAATGTAATTTTTGCATTCACTGTTTCTTTCAGACTTTTTTCCAGGAGGGGGGGGGGGGGGCACTTGATATTTTTTAAGGGTGTGGGGGACTAAATTTTCCGGGGGTCGGGGAGGACACTGGTAAAAGTATATATTTTTTAATATCAATTCCATTTCACTCAGATGGGGGAGGGGGTGGGGGGGGGGGTGGCGTTAGACGGGGGCGGATATTCGGAAATCGATCCCATAAGATTTTTTGTCCCCATTCTGTCCTTGTGCTCAAGATAACTACTCCACCCCCACCATCGAAAAGATGCCTGGAAGAAACTCTGTTTTTATTTGTCATAGAATAAGATATAGAATCTATCTAGAAATAGAGAAATAAAGGATTAGAACAGTAAAGAATTCATCAAGGGAGATAACCTGTACGATACTTGAGATAATTTACTTGTTAAGTGTGTGATGAA